AAACATTTTCTAATGGTGGTGTGCCTCGTGATTTTTTTTCATGAAAAAAGTGTGCCTTTGCACAAAAAAGGTTGAAAAACACTGGTCTAGGAAATATGAAATAATCACCCTTAACATGTACCTATTCACAATGGATGTGTGTCCACGATAAATAGTGAGGCATCTTCCGGTCATCATATCCCATTTTCTGATAGTGTGATCTGCACTGCAGGTGAAAGCAACTTCATTTTCTAAGTGGCAAAAGGTGATGTAGCTTTCATGGCCTAGAATGAACGAATAAACACACAGACAGATAGACAGGTCAAACTTATTGCTAATGTTTCAATGGTGGATAATGTATGTAGGGTTGAACTGTTGCAACAGAGTAGGATAGAATAGAATAGAATATAAAAAATATAAAATAGAATAGAATTAAGAATATAGAATAGAATAAAATAGAACAGAATATGGAATATGAAAAATATAAAATAGAATTAAAATATTGAATAAAATAGAATAGAGAATAAAGAATAGAATAGAACAGAATAGAATAGAGAATAGAACAGAACGGAATATGGAATATGAAAAATATAAAATATAAAATATAAAATAGAATAGAATTAAAATACTGAATAGAATAGAATAGAGAATAGAACAGAATAGAGAATAAATAGAGAATAGAACAGAACAGAATAAAATAGGGAATAGAACAGAACAGAATATGAAAAATATAAAATATAAAATAGAATAGAATTAAAAATATTGAAGAGAATAGAGAATAGAATAGAATAGGACAGGACAGAACAGAACAGAACAGAACAGAACAGAATTCTTTATTGGCCAAGTGTGACTGGACACACAAGGAATTTGTCTTTGGTGCATATGCTCTCAGTGTACATAAAGAAAAATGAATAGCAAACATGCTAATAAACCCAATAATGAAACATCTGCAGCATAACAATCAAGCACACTAAAATGTCTTTACATTGTAAAAACTTATAGATGATTTCCAGAGTACGCAGTGTTTCTCAACCTTGACACTTTAAGAAGAGTGGACCAACTCCCAGAATTACCCAGCCAGCCATCCTGGCTAGGGAATTCTAGAAGTTGAGGTCCTCCTATCTTAAAGTGGCCAAGCTTGAGAAAGACTGTAGAGGGAAAAATTGGGGTGGGAGAATAGATTCCTCCTCTAAAACTTCACCCCCGTTTAAATTCTACTTCAGGATTTTAGTCAGAAAAAGCTTCAGATTGTCTGCTACCCTGTCCCATGTCTCTCTGCCTGCAACGTCTATTTTAAAAGCAGGAGAGGCAAGGACAATCTCGCTTCTGGGCTGAAGATCACCCCCACAGGGCAGAATCATGAGACATAGGAGGGGGTAAAAATATTCGTGCATGTGATTAAGTGCATGGGCATGTAAACAAAAGCCAGAAGCAGCCACACACTGCCCTGTGTCTATGACACTATTGACCCAGCTATATGGCATCCATACTTATTTGTTAGATTTTTATCTCACCTTTATTACTTTATAAATAACTAATAGGCTGCGAACATTCACAATATTCCTTCCTCTTCCTCTTTTTCCCACAATAACAACCCTGTGAGGTGAGTTGGCCTGAGAGAAAGGGACTGGCCACCAAGCAGCCTTTCATGCCTAAGACAGGGCTAGAACTCACAGTCTCCTAGTGATTGGCCCAAAGTCACCCAGCTGGTTTTCATGCCTAAGGCAGGACTAGAACTCACAGTCTCCTGGTGATTGGCCCAAAGTCACCTAGCTAGCTTTAATGGCTAAAGCGGGACTAGAACTCACAGTCTCCTGGTGATTGGCTCAAAGTCACCCAGCTGGCTTTAATGACTAAAGTGAAACAATCTGGTTTCTAGGCCACAATCTTACTCCCCACACCAAATTGACTCCCCATATCCATCTTTTCCATACATCTGGTCAATTTGGAAGAGTTTATGTGCCAGAGGTAGGTGGAGTTGATTACAGGCAGTTCTCAACTTACAACCTCAACTGACCCAAACATTTATGTTGCTAAGCAAAACAGTGCTTAAATGGGTTTTGACCCACTTTGCGGCCTTTTTAGCCTTAGTTGTTATGTGAAGCAGTTCAGTTCTTAAGTTAGTAACACAATTATTGTGGCTAATACAAAACTTTGCTTGTCAAAAGATCAGAACAGAATTCACCTCAGTTCACTGGAACTCTCATAAGCACCTGCCAATTGCCAAATGCCTGGATTTTAATCACATGAGGATGTAGTATGTATGAAAAATAGTCAAGCCACTTTTTCATTCATTTCCATTTTACCTTCAAACAGCCACTAAGTGTATGGTTGCCAAGGGACACAGTGGCTCAGTGGCTAAGACCCTGAGCTTGTCGATCAGATGGTCAGCAGTTCGGCAGTTCGAATCCCTAGCACCACATAACCGAGTGAGCTCCCGTTACTTGTCCCAGCTTCTGCCAACCTAGCAGTTTGAAAGCATGTAGAAAAAATAGGAACCACCTTTGGTGGGAAGATAACAGCGTTCTGTGCGCCTTCGGGGTTGAGGATTACCTGCACAGCAGCAATGGGTGCATTGTTGGGAGACTGAACAGCTAGGCTGGGGGATGAGTCATTTTGGAGAAGATCATCAAAAGCCAACATCAACTTCCTGGCATGTCGGTCAATCAACCAACTGCAAAGACCTTATATAGTTTTATATAGCAAAATCTATAATATTAGACAAGGGTGGGAAGAAAGAGAAGAGGATGGCCAGCAGCCACATGGACAGATTATATTCCAACAGAAAAGGATTGGAAGTTCTGAAGGACCAGATTGGAGATAGTTCACCTGGAGAACGCCCATCTCTCTGGTTGCTGAGAGTCAATATTGACTAGATCGCGGGTGTCAAAATTGCACCGTCGTGGCGGCGTCATGTGACGTATCGGGAATTCCCCCCTTTCACTAAAACCGGGTTGAGGGGGAGCTAGCATGTGACGCAACTGGCCTGCAGGCCACGATTTTGACACCCCTGGACTAGATAGTCCATAATCAATTTATATCCTGGAACCAAAGGACTTTAGAAGACCTCTAAAGTCCCTCCCAACTCTATTATTCTGTCACTCTACCTACCTTGAAAGTGGGCCTGACATTGGTTGTTAGCAGTGCTCCAGAGTCGTGCCGTCCCATCCTCACTGCCCGTTAGCAGCCACTGACCGTCCGGACTTAGGCTGATCCAGTTGATGCCTCCTTGGTGGTCTGTGCAGATTTTGAGGGCTGAAGAGCTGCTCCCCATTCTGCCACAGGGCAGTGGCTGGAATGTGCATACCCCATCAAGTCCAGATCATCTTAAGACCAGGAGAAAGCCTTACGAAGACGAAAGGACATTAAAACCGATTAAGCCATCTTTTGGGGTTTAAAAAATCAGCAAAAGAGCCATTGCTTTCTGTTTCTAAAACATAACACTTGGATGATACATTTTCCTAAATTACTCAGGCACACAAATGTATTTTCCTTAGCCAGAAGTGCACATCCATCAAACAAAGCACATGTTACTCCATAGTATACCATGAAGCTGACCTTGGAAAAAAATGTCAGCAGGCTTCTGCTGATTCAGGACATTGAAGGGAGGAATATTGACCGAAACCTACTGAAATGCTGACATCGTTTCTCAATTTTCTTGTTTGTTCGTCTTGTGCGCGAGAGAAGCAAAAAATACAGGAAGTTCTCGATTTAGTATAATTCTAGCTGTTGGTTACTTTTATGGTTCAAAATAATCCTGGGCCAGGACAAATGAATCTGTCCATGATTTAAAATCTACAAATGAGAACAGTCTCTGGGTCCATACGGGTAATCCTTGACTTATGTTCATTTGCTTAATGGATGTTCAAAATTATGATGGAAACACCCCCCCCCCCAAAAATACTTTCCAAAGTTCCGATGTCCGACCGACACCTCCTGTACAGTCACGTGACCACATTTTTGTTGCTCAGCAATTGTCCTGCTATCACAAAACTGTGATTTACAAGATTTTTTTTCAGAAACCGGTGTTTCCTTCCAGTACCTGGCAAAACACACCCCACAGCAAATAAATTGATTCACTCCCCAATCACAACATCTGCTTAACAACCACTGCCTTCATTTTACACAGTGTTCACTTAATGACTACCACACAAAAGGTCATAAAATCGGATCCGGTCACGTGATGCACTGCTCTGTGACAATAATGACTTACAAGTGTGATTGCAGGACTCAAATACAGTTGTAATTCAAGGACTACCTATGTATCTTTTAAAAAATAAGTGTGTTTGTTTACCAGGGAAAATGTTTTAGGAATTTAATTTCCTACCTCAGCGATGGTGAACCTTTCAATGAGTCTTATCTCATATATTAGTTTCACCTTTTAAGTTGCATTACTGAAATAAATGAACTTTTGCACAATATTCTAATTTTTTGAGTTTTGGTTGATAACTTTCTAAGCAGTTTGGAGAACCAGTTGTTGGAAGAAATCTTATTTTGTTTTTTTTCCACTTTCCAGGGCTAATCCTGTAAGGAAGGCAGGAAGGAAACATTCTGGTGTTGTTTCTAGCCTAATCTTTATTGTCCTTGCTTACAGAAACTGCTTTTCCAGTTAACCCTATTACATTTTAACAGCTAAGACGAAGCGCCCATCAACTTGAGTGACATTGAGTTGGCCACGACCAGCCAGTCACATGACCACCAAGCCACACCTACATAGCTGGTCATTAGGGCACAGAACCGGTTGTTAAATTATTTGAATCCCACCACTGGGGAGACGGCTCTAAATGGCTCTTTGAATGTTTAAACTTGCCGACCCCTGAATGAGTGTAATGTGTGAATATTCACAATTCATTTTGTTCCTGGAAGCTGGAGGCATATCCAGAAAGCATAAGGGCCGACTCATATTTGTGAACTCATACTGGAATGTCATGCACTGCTATACCAAAGTTTTGGTGTTGCATTTCATTGTTTTGCATGGCACTTAGTTACAGGCACATGAAAAATAAATCAACTAATTTTATACTCTTTTATCACCGGATATTGTAAAGCACCATTTCTCAAGCTTAGCAACTTTTAAATGTTTGGGTTCCCTAGGCAGCAATTTTGAGAATTGAAATCCAGACATCTTAGAAGCTGCTGAGGTTGAAAAATGCTTCTCTAGAGCCCAAATTATATTTATTTTATCACAGAGACTAGAATACCAAGGCAATTGCATGCATGACACATCATTGCAGAAATTACACCCATGATGACATTTGGATCATTTTCATACAGTATCAATTGTCCCTGGTCTTCTCCATGAACACCAATGAACCACAAACAGTCCTCAACCTATGACCATTGGTTTAGCAACTGTTTGAAATTATGACAGTGTTGAAAAAAGTGACTTAGGACGGTCTGCATTCTTATTACCATCTCTTTAAGGTCATGTGATGGCAATTATGGTGCTTGGTAACTTGTATGTATTTAAGACGATTGCATGGCCCCAGAGTCTTTTGAACAATATTTGCAATTGTCAATGGGGGAAGCTGAATCTGCTCAATGACCATGGCAGAAAAATTGGGTAAGGTCATATGACAACTCACTTAATAACTGCATCATTTAGTGATGGAATTCCAGTTCCAATTCTGGTTATAAGTTGAGGACTACTTGTAGCTTAACTATTCCACAGCTACAGGTAGTTCCTGATTTACAACAGTTCACTTAGTGACCATTTGAAATTACAATGGCACTGAAAAAGGTGACTTATACCCATTTTTCACACTTACGACCAATGCAGCATCCCCCAATGGTCATGCGATCAAAATTCAGATGCTTGGCAACTGGGTCGTATTTATTATGGTTGCAGTATCCTGGGGCCATGTGATCCTCTTCTGACAAGCAAAGTCAATGGGAAACAGATTTCTTTAACGAACATGTTACTAACTGAACAATTGTAGTGATTCGCTTAACAACTGTAGCAAAAATGGTCATAAAATGGGGCAAAACTCACTTAACAAATGTCTCACTTAGCAATGGACATTTTGGGCTCGATTGTGGTTGTAAGTCGCGTACTGCCTAAACTTCTGCGAAATGGGTGGGATTCATAGCTTAATACATTCTAGGTCAGAGGTGTCAAACTCTCGGCCTGTGGGCAGGATGCATCACGCGCTGGCCACGCCCACGCCAGGTTTAGCGAAGGGGGAGAAAAGTCATGATACGTCACCTTCTCTGTGGCTGCTCCGACCCTCTGGAACGAACTCCCTGTGGAGATTCAAACCCTCACCCCCCTCCA